GGGGTGAGCCCGAGGGGAACTTGGCTGGCCCTAGAACATTGGGTTGGGTGTGAAAAAAATTCCAGTGCAAAAAAGAAACCTTGATAAAAAAAGCCTAAAAAAGCCATAAATAACCCCAAACCAAAACCTCTGCTTCCGTAAGCTTTTGGTCATATTGACTCAAATGCATTTCTGTGAATTTCCCAAAAAGACAATCAGGCTGTTTACATCACATCACATTACACATCACACATCGAAAAAACCTTTATGCAAGCGGCTGCGACCTGTCTGTCTGTCGGTGGAGGCACCCTGGCTATGCCTCGTGATGCCAACATCAACACTTTCCTTTTCTCCATCCTTAAGGCAGTAGACCGCTATAAAAACTACTGGTTCGGATTACATGATCTGGTAGATGAAGGTAAGCTGTGATGGAATTGTTACTAGATATTTATAAAAATGACTTATGAATGTAACTGCCATCTTCTTTTAGAAAGAACCATCTTCTATTGTACAGTTGTGTTACTGTAATGAAATCCACAATTCAGCAATTCAGATTTTAACCTGAAGAAACCATTCATTCATTCATTCTTCACTCACTCCCCTATCCCCTACTTGGCACATCTGCTAAATCAGCGGTTAGCCCATTGATCTGATGACAATGTATTCATTTTATATGTATATTAATTCACTAACCCCGACCAGTACAACGAAGCATTTCCAAAACATCCTATGATAAGTGTATTTTAATGTCAATAATTGACAATGTTTGTCAATGTCATGTATATTTTAAACTGTTTGTAAATTCAACAAAATTCAGGCTAGTATGTAAGTCTACAAGTTGAATAAAGATTCATTCTCCTTCATTTGTTTAGGTAAGTGGGAGTGGGTGGATGGTACTGATCTGGGGACCGGCTATAGCGCGTGGCGGGAGGGCCAACCGGACCAGTGGGGGGACCAGGACTGTGCTATGTACAGAGACGATCGCTGGGTTGATGGGGCATGTCACTGGAAACACCCGTTCATCTGTCAAGTCATCCCATAGAGCAGTACCCTGGATGCCAGACTTGTATCAAACTGCTAACCCTTTCCCTTCGGCAGCCAGAAGCCCTTCGCCCGCCCGTCTAAATTACCGCTACGGGGGTGGGGTTGAGCCCGAGGGGAACTTGGCTGGCCCTAGAACATTGGGTTGGGTGAAAAAAAATTCCAGTGCAAAAAAGAAACCTTGATAAAAAAAGCCTAAAAAAAGCCATAAATAACCCCAAACCAAAACCTCTGCTTCCGTAAGCTTTTGGTCATATTGACTCAAATGCATTTCTGTGAATTTCCCAAAAAGACAATCAGGCTGTTTACATCACATCACATTACACATTTATTGTCACTGTATACATCACAGTATACATATCCTCAAGAAGAAGATACATCATATGACTTATTCTTGATATATTAACCATTAGAGGAGCATTCTCATGGTCTAGAAATTAGACAGTATATTGCAAACAGCATACTTGTAATAATAAGTATCCTTTATTTGTGTATCAACCCCATTCCTCTTGAATATTGACATCACATTGTATCATGAAGATTTTACATTTCCTTTAATTTATAATACGTTTGTTTCAAGGACATATGGAATTAGGTTAATCTTTGCATCAGAATCTGATCTTTAGTCTGTGTGTCACACATCAGATCAAGCTTTTGTCTTGAATGTTAAAGACATTCCATCATAATTATCTTCTGTTAAAAACACTCTTATTCACATGTGAAGCTGTCACTGTGTCTGTGTATTGCCTTTCGTTACAATGGTTAATTAAATATAAAATGATCTTTCATCACATATTTGCTGTACATTCTTTCACAAGTTCTGGCTTTGACTGTTGGTTTGTAAAGATCTGGAATCCGACATAACATTCATTGCTCCTTCAGGCCTGAGGTCCAGGGTACTCGATGACTGCAGCTGCCCCCATGCCTGTTCCAATACACATGGACACAACACCGTACGCCCTGCAACAGAGAGGAAAAACCAATCAGGCGAAACTGTCAAAAGTTCAAGCATAAAAGAAGATATAGTCCTCACAGGCATGCTAGTGTTTTAAAGGGACAACCTTAGATTAACACTACATTATCATAAAACAAAATTAAATGTGTAAACAGTGACATTTTCTAACACAGTCCTTGGCACTTTTAAGCCAGCAGCAGCAAACAAGAAGGTTATGTATCAGTAGTATTTGTTTGTGAACAGCATAACTCAAGAAGCTTTATATGCATTGTCATGAAACTTTGTAGGTGGGTAGGTCTTGATGAGACCTAGAAATGATTAGACTTTGGGCCCTCTGGCAGCTTTCATTGGTACTGCAGCAGAACTTCTGGTTGTTTTCTTGTTTGGATAGAGTTACTTCTCTGAACTCTACAAGACTTAGTTCAAGTTGACTTTCTAACCTCTTTCCCCTCCTCCTGAGCTCGTTGAGCAGTGTAGCGATCTGTCTGCTGCCTGTGCATCCCAGTCTTGACTTATCTAACTTGTTCTTCTAACTCCATGGTCTAACTTTTGTTTCCTTTAGGACTTTCAATACATTTGTCTCCACTTATGTACACATCAATCTATAGGTGATAGTGATAAACCTACCTTTCTGACAACTCTCCAGTGTCACTGACAAACTAAAGGTAGTGGATGCTACCTGAAACTTCTGACCATTTCCAAATCATATCCAGTTGCTTGGGTAACTGTTTTTTGGCCTATCTACGTTCAAGTTGATGTTCTGACCTCTTGCCCCTCCTCTTGAGTTCGTTGAGCAGTGTAGCGATCTGCCTGCTGCCTGTGCAGCCCAGAGGATGGCCCAGTGCGATGGCTCCACCGTTTGGGTTCACCTTCTCCCACGGGATACCCAGCTTGTCTACAGAGAACACGGCCTACAGAGGAGATAGACCATTGAAGACTTTACATCCAACACCAAAAATTTGTCACCTAGAGCTTTCAACCAGTCACTCTGGTCTTCCTCAGTAGACTGTGACGTCAACACTGGGTGAAAGGTATCTGGTAAACGATGTCGGTCCCTGTCGCGGTCTACCAGATACCTTTGATCCAGTGTTGACGTCACACTTCAAAAGTTTTAACTCTAAACATATGACATCCAACACAGATGAACTTTCATATGATATGAACTTTCAACTTACCTGACTGGCAAAAGCTTCATTCACCTCAAAAACATCAATGTCATCAACAGACAGACCTACATGTAGATAATAGACAAGAACATTAAGTAAAACATGGCAGAAAGATATTTTTAACTATAAGTAAAGAGATGAAGAAAAAAGACCTATCCCAACTCTACACTGGGCATGCTAAGGATTTGACCACAGAACTTTTACTTCTAAGGTTTAACTTAATAACCTTAACCACAGTAATCAAGCAGACTTTCGGTGCCTGCAAAAGACCAGGCAGTAAATTGGCCAGGCAGTATCAAATTGGCCAGGCAGTATCCATTGGCTAATGGACACTCCTCTGGGCAATGGATACTGCCTTGCCACCGTATGATCTGCTTGGAGATTAAACCACAGTGTCTTCAGGCGATTAGCCCATTATTTACCTGCTTTCTTCAGTGCCTTAAACAACTTCAAAATCTACATAATAAAAGATAATTGTCTAAAACAATAGCTATATCTAAAACTATGTCTGAAGGGTTTGACTTGTCCCGCCTTTTCCAAAATTTTAATCATTTACCTGCTTTCTTCAGCGCCTCTGGTATAGCGTAGGCAGGTCCGATGCCCATGACATCAGGAGGCACGCCGACCACAGCGTAGCTGCGAATCACACCAAACACGGGCAGCCCGAGTTCCCGCGCCTTGGAGCGCCTGGCCACCAGGACTGCAGCCGCGCCATCACTCACCTGGCTGGAGTTACCTGTCGGAGGAAAAATTCTCATCTAAAAAAGTCTACCTGTCGGGGGAAAATGTATGAGAAACAGAAGAAACAGAAGAATAGCCAGCAGACGCACAATATCACAGAAAGCAACACAAAGTAGCCCTGCCGGTCTATAAACTCATCTTATGCCCACACCGCGCCAATCACAACACTCCAACACAAATTCCTACAAGGCTCTACCGTTTCACAAAGGCTGCTACAGATATTTCTATTTCCCTCAGACTCTCAGGGATTGGAACGCACTTCCTCAGGCCATAACAGAAATCACAAAGCCTGGCAACTTCAAGGAAGCCGTACACCTGAGGAAACAATAAGGGTGCAGCGCACTCCCCCCCTGAGCATCTTACACCAACAGAGGGGTGTTGCACAGTATTTTATCAAGATCCAGAAAAATAAATGCCTCTAGAATACCTTGGAGTGCCAATCGTGAAGAAGGTACAAACCTGCAGTTGTGCTGCCTCCCTTTTTGAAAGCTGGAGGAAGTCTGGCCAGTTTTTCTTTAGTGGTCCCTGGGCGGACACCATCGTCTTTGGTCACCTGGAGAAATAGTAAGGAACATGTCAAGAGAATGTTTTTCTATTGATTTTGCTATAGTTATAACAGTTAACTTTTATAACTTAAAGAGAATTTATGCACTGCAGTTGCCAAGAGAAAAAAGGTCAATGCTTCATTTTGGAAAACTGCAAATTTTTATCAGTTACTGTAATGTATGATTCAATTTGGAGAGATAAACAAGACTTACAGTGGTCGAATGAAAGCTCATCTGTGTTTAGTTCATGATGTCAGGAGTGCATCAAAAGTGGCGGAAAGACACACTTTTGATGCCCTGCTGACATCATCACATTTTCGACTTCTGGAGAGTCAGCGAGTGCATCATACATGACGAAGGTTGACGAGAATCAACCAAAAATTTACAGTGAGTTCCCTTCTTGTGTTAGAACAAAGCCTGAACTCTATAACTACCGGACCGGGTATAAGACTTACAGTGATTTGTCTCTCCTGTCCGTCCTTGTCGACTATCTTGGTCTTGACAGGAACAATCTCGTCCTGGAACAAACCCTTGTCTGTGGCTGCACAGGCCCTGTAGGGGTGGATAAAAATGGGGTTGTGTGGCGTAAATGGTAGCGTGTTCGGCTCAGGACCAAGAGGTCGCAGGTTTGAATCCTACAGTACCATGTCACCGATCTTGTGCCCCTGGGAAAGGCACTTTACAGGACTTTCCTCACTTCACTCAGGTGGAAATGAGTACCTAGCTTAAATGGTTAGGGATGTAATTTGGATAGGACCGTGTTTGGGAGAACCACACCCCACGCACATTTAAGAACCCACCACACCTTTAGAAGAAGACTAGGGGCATGCCCCAGTGTAGGATGGTTCCAATTATACAGCCCAATTATACAGTGAAGCAGAATTATCAGCAAGTTGATGTTGGCTACCTTAAACCCCAAAGACAAGACAACGACAAGTATGAGATCCGAGCCTCACCTCTGCTGAGAGATGGCAGCAAACTTGTCCTGTGTCTCACGAGTCACACCAAATCTCTCGGCTACGTTTTCTGAGGTGATCCTGGAACACAAGAAACAAACACCTGACATGCCACCAATCTTGTACCCTTGGGAAAGGCACTTTACATGATTTTCTTCATTTAACTCAAATAAAAACTACTATAGTCTGTCCTGTATATGTTTCTATGTGTGGGACACAACACCAGCGCAGCAACAGCTGCCCGTGTCCCTCATGTATTGTGACAATTTCAACAAACCAAACCAAATCAAATCAAATGATTTGAGTGATAACATGTAGTTTTAATTCTTTATCATGTCTTTGAAGTTTACCTACCCCATGGGAATGATGCAGTCTCTGGCCTTCTGGTACTGGAAGTTGTCCGGGTTCAAGTCTCCTGCGTCACCGCCCTGCTTACGCTTACTCATGGACTCCACCCTGAAATACACAAGGTATTTCTCATGACAACTCATGACTTATGGTAGCATTGCAGTGGTTAGCCACCCTGCCTCTGGACTAAGAGGTTAGGGGTTCGAATCCCAGCTGTTACCGCTCAATCAATGTGGACACTTCTGTAAAGTGTCGCAGTCCTAAGGACAGGACGTTAAGCCATGGTTCACTGTACGTTGTGCATGTCAAAAAGAGCTAGGGGAATTTCTGTATTGCTTTGAATATAAAAGATGCAACAGAAACATATCAGTTCAGCACATGTATTCAAGAGCCTTTATGATGTTTTTGCTTGATTTACTTCCAAGATTCAAACCATTACTAATTTACGTAAATAGATGACCACTCACCCTGCACCAATGCCTATGTCACACACTCCTGCCTTGATACTGTCTGTAAGGTAAGACATAGTAAAAGGAAATTGGTAACTGGAACGTAACATTATTTGCAAAGCAAATACATAATATAATGTGTTCCTTTACATGGTCTAACCTAAAAAAACACTGTTTATTCTTACTCAAACACATTGCATATATACTAGTACATGTATATCTCCCTCTGTACCTTGAAAATGTTCCAACAGCTGTTACAAAATTGTAACATTTAAACTGTGACAGTCATAAGAACAGAGTCTATCTTACTGGCAACATGCATCACAGCCTGTAGTCCAGAGGAGCACTGTCTGTTACAGGCACTCAGAGGGACAGTCTCAGGGATGCCCCTAGGAAAAACACAACATCTTTCAACTTTCTATACCCCGACGAAAAAGAGAGATTGACATTAAAGATAATTACAATGTAACAATTTGAAGTCAGAGAATATCGCAACGGAGTCAATAAGACAATAAACATGTGATACTCATAGAAACGAAATGATCTACTTCGATATACATGTATTTTTTTCTAGCTTTCTACGATCTACAAGTGTAGATACTTGAGCTGTATTGTAGAACAATAATTGTCTTAGGAAATGTTGACCAGAGCATAGCATACTAGTACTTACGCCACAAACTGGGCAATTCTGAAGACTGCTGGCCCTGCACCTGGCTGGAGTACATTACCTGCGGGCAATATACATGTAACATTAGTAATAAATTCAACATTTCTTCCAGTGTATGCAAGATGTTCGTTGGATGTTTGGCCACCGTCTCATAAGCATTTTGCCTGTTGCAGAGGACACCTTTTCCGACATAACATTTGGAAACTACAGACAGGACGTTAACCTTATATACGCGAAGACAACCTTATATGAGACATTCTGCTGAAGTGCTATATGCACAATACATTACGGATTTTGAGCAGGTGCAGTACGTTCTGCCGACATGCTTCTAGGTGGAGATATGAAGCCATGACCTACCCACACAGATGTCTCCGATGTCAGTTGGGTTGACATTGGTTCTCTCCAGGGTGGCCTTCAGCACCGACACCAGAAGGTCATCCGGGGTCGTATCCTAAGGAAACACCATGCAAGCTTAAGGCATTAGTGATCACTTTAAAGTTGTCAAATATCGTGTTATAATAGCCATAGTTATTCATTCTATTAAATAGTGTTATACATGTAAAAAGAATTTTTCAGCCCCTGATGCCAAACATTTACTCAATTACTGTAATTATGGGTTCACCACACCACGAAGTGGTGTGGTGAAACCATATTGCTTTTTCTGATGTTTCTTCTTCTTCTTCTCCTCCTCCTGCCATTTTTAAAATGGATTCAGCTTCTTCATTTTAGGGCCTAAGGTCCTGAAATTTGGTATGGAGGTACAGTGGGCAAATACCCCTAGGCGTTTTTTAAATTTTTGTGATACAAGCTTTTACAATCGTTTTATTTGCTTTTTTAGCGGTCCCCATAGGAAAGTACTGTGGGGGCGCGCGCGCGTGACGTAATAAGAAAGGAATTCGGCGGTATGCCCATATATGGGCATGCAAGCATGAACCTGACGCAGACCAATCTATTCTTCTTGCTGATTGGCTGTTGGATTTGATTGGATTAACTCAATTAACACCTGTTCAAAGCCATTCCATTTTGACAGTATGAACTCAAGTGTTTTGGTAGGTACAGCACAGGCCACGAAATACGCATCAATTTTCGAGGGACGTTCTGCGGGAGAGTGCAGGACGCTGTGCGGGACTTCCCTCGGGAGAGTGCGGGACGTCCTCCGGGAGAGTGCGATACGTTCTGCGGGAGAGTGCGGTACGTCCAGCGGGAGAGTGCGGTAAGTTCTGCGGGAGCCAGACATTTTGCTCTTCTCTGTTGGAACAACGCAAGTTGGAGGTCAATGACCTGCGCCCGGCGTGTAAACAAAAAAGTTACTCGCGCGTCACGGTATCAACAATTTTCCGCAATCTTTACCAACTAGTATTATCTAGGTTCTGTTATCGATCTCCGAAGAATCACCAAAATTGTAGAGTGCACAGGCGTTCGTTTGTTGTTGCTGAGAACATCGCGAGACGGTTTCCTGGCGAGCGTCGAGGGCTTGCATGCCCGATAGTTTTCGAAGATTGGACAGGGAGCGGCTGTAATATCAAAGGAGCCGGCGGCTTCTGCTAGTAGGGTTGATAGTTAAGTAACATCAAGGTGGTTCAAAAGCAAACCTGATAAAGAAGGAAACCCCGTAGTTAATAGTTGAAAGTCTTGGTGCCTTGAAGCGATCGATACCGCCATGCTGTTTACTTTTTATGACATACAATGCAG